GCAGGCAGATTGTTCACACCTATAATCCCAGCACTCTGAAAGGCTGAGGCAAGCAGATTGCTTGAGGTCAGGAGTTCGAGACCAGCCTGGCCAACATGGTGAAACCCTGGCTCTATTAAAAATATAAAGATTAGCGGGGCATGGTGGCAGGCGCCTGTAATCCCAGCTACTCGGGAGACTGAGGTTGCAATGAGCCGAGATCGTGCCACTGCACTCCAGCTTCAGTGACAGAACACAGACTCAATGAGAAACTGATCCAAGCATAAAGGCATCTCCTTATCTATACAAGGAGAAGATGAGAGCACAAGGGCTCTCATTTACCACCTGTCCATGATAGGCCAACACCACATCTGCCAGTTTCTGGATGTGAAGTTCAGAAGCTGAGTCCCAGTGGAAATTCAGTTCAATGGGGCTTTCATCATTCTTACATGAATCCAGTTGGCCCTCAGTTTTATAAAACTGACCTATATTTCTCTGAATGCCTAAGTAAGAGTTATGGACTAGCATAGTTCATTCTGAGTAAACTCTGAGGATCTGCCTCATACATTAGCAAATGAGTTCCCATGCCTGGGAATTATCAGAATTGGAAGAACGAGTAGTTGATAAAGCAGGGGGGAAGTCAGGAACTAAAGGCAGCAAGGAGAAAAATCACATTTTTAAGGGAAGAGTAGAAAGGAGAATCGATCAAAATATTAATAGTTAATATTAACATTTGTTATTAATATTTCTTTCTTGTATAAACCTTGTTTCTGGCTTATATATTTCATTACGAATTTTAGCCAAATTAACAAACAAAACAAAACACAAACATAATGTGATACCAGAAATCAAGTTATACCAATGAGATCATTCATTCGAACTGCCATATTTTATCTTTTTTTTTTTTGGAAGACAGAGTCTTGCTCTGTCACCCAAGCTCAAGTGGCATGATCTCAGCTCACTGCAAACTTCAGCTTCAGGGTTCAAGGGATTCTCCTGCCTCAGCCTCCCGAGTAACTGGGATTACAGGCATGCGCCACCATGCCAGGCTTTTTTTTTTTTTTTCAAAGTAGGGGCAGGGTTTCTCCATGTTGGTTAGGCTGGTCTCAAACTCCTGACCTCAGATGATCCACTCGCCTCAGCCTTCCAAAGTGCTGGGATTACAGGTGTGAGCCACCATGCTCAGCTGCAAGGAGATTATTATGGTTTGAATGAAAATATGGCAGGGCCAGGCATGGTGGCTCACGCCTGTAATCCCAGCACTTTGGGAGGCTGAGGTGGGCAGATCACCTGAGATTGGGAGTTCGAGACCAGCCTGGCCAACCTGATGAAACCCCATCTGTACTAAAAATACAAAAATTAGCTGGGCATGGTGGTGGCCACCTGTAATCTCGGCTACTCAGGAGACTGAGACAGGAGAATCGCTTGAACCTGGGAGGCGGAGGCTGCAGTGAGCCAAGATTACACCATTGCACTCCAGCCTGGGAGATGAGAGCAAAACTCCACCTCAAAAAAAAAACAAACTCTCTCTGCTTTCATGGAATATAAATTCCAGTAAGCTGAGCTTCATTTCTTTTTTTTTTTTCCCTGAGACATTGTCTCACTTTGTCACCCAGGCTGGAGTGCAGTGTTGCAATCTCAGCTCACTGCAACCTTCGCCTCCTGGTTTCAAGCGATTCTCCAGCCTCAGCCTCCCAAGTCGCTGGGATTACAGGTGTGCACCACAGTGCCTGGATAGGTTTTATATTTTTAGTAGAAATGGGGTTTCACCTTGTTGCCCAGGCTGGTCTCAAACTCCCAACCTCAGGTAATCTGCCCACCTCAGCCTCCCAAAGTGCTGGGATCACAGATGTGAGCCACTGTGCCCGGCTGAGCTTCATTTGCTATACTTTTTCCTACGTCTAGGACAGTGTTACACAAGTAGTAGATGTGCCAGAAATATTTACTTACTGAATAACTGACTGAAGGAAACCTCTCCCTTGAGTTTAAATTATCCTATAGTTTATATCACTATTTCCCTCTCTGTAACTTTTCCAAAATGAGTCAAGGCAGCTGGGCACGGGCTCACACCTGTAATCTCAGCACTCTGGGAGATTGAGGAGGGCAGATCACCTGAAGTCAGGAGTTCAAGACCAGCCTGGGCAACATGGTGAAACCCCACCTCTACTAAAAACACACAATTTAGCTAGGCATTGGCACATGCTTGTAATCTCAGTTATGGGAACTGGAGGGGAGAGGACTGTTTGAATCTAGTCCTTGAATCTAGTCATTGAGATTGCAATGACCCAAGATCACACCACTGCACTCCGGGCAGGGCAACAAGGTGAGACTCTGTCTCAAAACAAAACCAAACAAAACAAAAAACCAAAACAAAAAAAAACAATGAGTCAAGGGTTATTGCTTCTCTTTGCTCATTCATCTTCAAGTGCTCACAACCATTAAGTTCCTCTTCAGATTTATATATATATATACATATATATATATATATATATATATATTTTTTTTTTTGAGACAGAGTTTCACTGTTGTTACCCAGGCTGGAGTGCAATAGCACCACCTCAGCTCACCGCAACCTCCGCCTCCTGGGTTCAGGCAATTCTCTTGCCT